GAACCCCACGGTTTCACAAATTGGTTTCACCTTCGGATGTCTTCCGTGATCGACATTTGCTTTGGCGTTGGGTCAACCAAAGTCAGGCAACATGTGCTTAAGCAATTTTCCCCTGGTCCCCTTTCGAGGAAAGCCAAAAGGAGGTGGCTGAAACAGTTGGTGTTTCGAGCAGTGGTTCTAAGGTCAAATCGATACACTGCTAGGAGGTTCTAGCACCAACTGCGGCTTCAACAAATTAAATCAAGGTCTTCAAGGGGAAACCAAAAAGAGGCTATTTAAAGAATAGAGGTTGAAACCATGTGCAGGGGGTGAATCGTCGTACCCTGTGGACTCAGGCGGCGATGCTGTGCGGCTTCAAGCAAATGACTCTGGCGTCCGCCCGGGAAACCCGGACGCCTGAGAGCAGAATTTGGCTGGGCCCAGAAGTACTCGTGCATGTTGGGGAGGATGTGATTCAATAGCAGGGCAAGAGTGATTCCAACATCAGACGGGAGTCCTGTTTGAAGGGAACCATGATCGTGTGACAATTGGGAGATGGAATTAAGGCAAAGCCCCTCGGCTTTTTCGGATTGCTAAACCACTTACTCTTTGGGTTTCAATTTCAAGTGTCCTTGTGGGTCACGTAAAGGCAACCTGCTTCAATGCGCGACAGGTCGTCAGCGACAGGTCGAATCCAAGTGCTTGCCGCCAGTCCATGGAACCTTCGTGGAACCTTACCTCAGGGCCGCCCCGGACCACCCCGGAGCCTATCTGGGCTGAGACCCCAAAGCTTTCAGCTGTTCGGGGGGAAAAACATCTTGCCCTCAATGGTGGCTTGGATTCTTTGCAGTTGTTTGGTGTGGCCCCCTGGTTGCTTCATGAAGACAATTCGAGGTGACCCGAGCTCAAAACCATCAAAGCTGGCTGAAAGACAAGCCATCCTACCTAGTCTGACGACCCCCCATATGGCCCCCATATGGGTGCTTGTTTTTGGTTGAGGCCTCTTGAGCCAAATGGACACTAGGACAGTTTTTTCTCCCAAAAGACCTTGTGGAAATAAATTGCTTGTCCAATTGACGACCTTTTGCTCAGTGCGGAACTGGCAACCACCAGGTTTCTCACTTTAACCCCTAGGAATACACTCATGACTTTTTTCCCCCCCCCCATATGGGTGCTTTTTTTTGGTTGCGGCCTCTTGAGCTGGTGTTAAAGGGACTGTTTTTTGGCCCACACCGATCTGTTGGCGTGGCTGGGTTTGAGGTCTTAATCGTGGTGGAGTGCGTCAACGACCTGAGCCTGGCGCCCATCGTCATGCTGGGCGTGGCCGTGTCGATGGCGGCGCCTTTTATACGAGTGGGCTCGGGTCGGGGCGATTGGCATTTGGCGCGTTTGGCAAAATGAGCCACGTCCTCAAACCCCGGGATTGATGATCCGGTTAGGGGCAGTCTGAGCCAGAAATAGTGGCGGAAATCCGCCTTCTTAATTCTTTACATGGTTCTGACATTTGAATACCGGGTGGTGATTGTGACTCAAATGGTGAGTCGGCTTGGGCCAGAATCCAACGGCGCTCCAATTCCGGCCATTCACAGAGTGAAAAGCTCGGTCGTTGGTGGGTGTTTGTATGTTTTTAGTGCCCATCCAACACATCATGTTTGTTTGTCTGGGAGGGAACCAATTGAAAAAACAAAAAAAGTGTCGTTGGTGGGTGTTCGTATGTTTTTGGTGATCCAACACATCATGTTTGTTTGGGAGGGAACCACTTGAAAATAATTGGTGACGCGTGTTTGAGTTTTTTGGGGAACCGTTAAACAGAGGCCAGTGGACATCAGACCGCTGTTTTTTTTTTTTTTTATGAGAGATATGTGGGGCATTTTGGCGCAAGAATCAATCGCCACTTTGAACTCGTGAATGCACCTGATGGAGTTGAGAATTGATGAAAACGGTTTTCGTGTGGCTTTGGCGGATTCACCCCTGGAGCATATCAAAGAGTACTCCCTTTGAAAGCCGATTTAAGGCTTCTGCTGCATCAAGAGGCGGACCTTCAAATCTTTGCCTGGTTCTTGTTCATTTCGCCGTCAACCAGCAAGCCAGTGGGGTCTGTTTCTTGAGGGTACTCTTTTGGTTGGTTTTAAAGGGAAACGCCGCTTTGCACCAGTTGCCCCTGGTTCTTGCAGAGGGTAAATGAGAAACCACCCGTAGCCGCCAAAACACTGAGGGTCCCAACCAACAACTGGAGGGAAGCTGAGTATCATGGGTTGTTGGCGTGGGATAGGACAAGAGAACAATTCGTTTGGCGGTAAGCTACTTTACTTTGGCGCAGTTTGCGTGGATGTTACGACTTTAACTTTTGCCATCTAATGGGTTTTCCGTTAAACCACTGAAAGTTAAACTTTTGGCAGGGGAGCCGAAAGCAACCGAGTTTATGTTACCCCCTGCCTTGAGGTGCCTCAAAAGCGAAGCGACCTCCAGGTTTTGTGTGGTGGCCCCTGCAAGCCCGGCCACACCTTCAGGTGAACTGGTCCATGAACGAGCGGGGCCACGATGAGGAGGCGGCAGAATGCCCGGTTTGTTTTGGTGGCCACACCGTTCCTTGGTCCTCCTCCAAAGCCATTTTTTCTCTAGGGGTAGACTAAGTGAGTATGGGTCAAAAGTAAACCACCAGGGCACCGCGGGTTTTGGTCCATGTTTCCATTTGCCAGGATTCCATTTTGGGTACATATGTTTGACCCGCAGCCAAGTACAAGACAGAATCTGAACATATTGTTGTCCGTGTACCCCAGATGTGGGCCAAAAACATTGGGAGTAGGGTGCACAAGTTTAGACACATAGGAATCGGATGGTCCTGACTATTGTTTCGTTCGAGCACCCCGCAGCCTTATTTGTTGTTGTTTATACCTTGGTCTTTACTATGTGTTTGTAGTTATTTTTTTTTGTGTTGTTGAACAGGTCGCGAACGAATCTCTGCCCAAAAAGTCGGAAAGACCCCGCAGTCTGAGTCTTCACAGTTCTTCAAGAACCACCAGCCAGCAAGGGGAACAACAAACAAATCCAGTCCGCTCTCAAAGAACAACTTTTTGCAGCCAACTCTTCAGGAAGAGAGATTCAGCTGGAACCCTTGTTTAACTCACTTGACCTCTTCAGCGGGTTTTACACGTGGAAGATGCGTGCAACCATCGCTTTCTGAAGCTACCAAGCCTTTGGCAAGATGTGGTGTTCATTAAGATGCAGATGCGGATGGGTGAAATTGTGACTGCATGTGGGTTTTCTGCTTATCACCTTTGGAAGGGAATTTGTCGAAGAGAGTCGTTGCAAATGAACTCAGTCTATTGCAATGAAAGGGATAACATGGGGGTAGTCATTTGGAGCAACGAAACTGGCTTGGATTTCAACACAATTCCGATTTGTAAGGGCCAAGGGGCAAAAGGGCCTAAGCAGTTAGAATAAGGTTGTGGGGTAAACAAACACCTGCCGCCTGTCCATGAGCATAGGTGGCGTTTTGTCAGGCTCTGGTTGAACTTGATGGATTCCAATCTGTTACCGCAGGTTGGTTCCAATCATTTACCAGTGTCATCCATTGGTTGAGGGGTTCCAACATGGTTCCAATCATGTAACAGTGCCACCTATTGGTCCACAACAAAAAACAGAAACACCTGGGGGAGGGTACCTGTAGAACCTCCCCTCCCTCCTGTCCGGTGGCCGTTTGTGGCGGCGCCGGTGCTCGTGGTTCGGAGGTGATCCATCGGCGGCAGCTGCCGTTCCTGGAGCCGGAGCCACCGAAGGCTGCGGAACCGGCGGAGCAAGTGGACTCCATGGTGGGCGTGTCTCCGTTTTTTGTTTGTTTGACCACCCAAAATGAGGTTTCCCTTTCAACCAGCGGATCTCAGTCAAGCCCTTATAGTCTGCTAGGTAACCAGTTATTTCTCTTTTGGCTCTTGAAGGGTGGCAAGCCTGTGTTTGCCTAGCATATATGCAGCAACATCCTTATATGGGGCTTATTTGATGCTTATTCCATGCTTATTTTGGTGCTTCTTTGATGCTTATTCGATGCTTATTTTTGCCAATGTTTGCATTTGGAGCCAAATTGCTGCATTCATACTGCACACAAATGTGTGTGCTCGGGGCCAATTCGATGGGGTTGCGCCTCAGACCTCCCTCGTCGATCTGGTTCGCTTTTTTTGTTGAGTCTGAACAACCTCATGGATATGGCGGGCAAGCTACCATACCCTTTGTCCATTGAATCACGGCACCCTACGAAACAAAATTGCAAGAAGCCGACTCAGTTTCATCAAGCATAACTTTCTTGAACACTCCCAGGCCCGGCCGCAACCCTTGACAAGCATCGAGGCAAATAACATCTAAATACGGCTAATTGTCAAACACCCAAAAACAAGAGGAGCCCGGGAACCCAAAAGCAAACCAGCCTCACTCCCCATGGCATGTGGATCCCGTTGTTTTCCGGCTCAAGGGTCCCAAGGCAAACCAAGATTTAAGTTGTTCACAGTTGGGAAATCAACCCCAAAACAGATGAAGAAGGGGAGCAACCGCAACTCAAGCCGGATTGGCAGCCAGCAGCCTGTGCTCTGACCAAGCACAGAGAAAAAGGCAAAGACACGGGTGAAACATGACAGGCCCCGCACTACATGGCAGGCACGAAGTCATCCGATTCATCATGAAGAACCAATCGCAGAAATCCGAAAATGGATCCGCACAAACTACCACTCCCAAATTGGAAGCAAGGCATAAGCTCGCTCTACACCCATCTGAAACAAGTCTGAGACACAGTGTTACAACACGATCTGAATAGACCGGGGTCAGCTGTTCGGATGTTCATGCGCCCTTTTGTTTGGGCCGAGTGTGCTCAGCATATTCATGTCAACGTGCTTCCAGGCTGCTTCCAAATAAGTAGGGCGAACCCCAAGAGGCCACAGACTCTGAAGAGAGGGTTCGTCCTAGAAACACATTGGCACCATTTGTTCGGGTCAGGTGTGCGGCAAAAATGACAATTTTGGCGCACCTGGAACGCCGGGCTGTTCACATGGAGCCGTGCACGTGGCCTTCACAAACTTGCTTCGTAAGCTTGCTTGGATTCGTTAGTTTCTCCACCTATTTTCCCATTCGCAACCAATTGCAACTGGTGACTTTGTGGAAAGGGCCGCGCACGTTGTCAATTGGATGCGTGTGGATGGCAAGTTGGGTGGATTCGCCGCAGGTGTGTGGAGACGGGGCCGGCGCTGCGCTTTTGCGGGGGGCTCGGTGTGGACAAGGTCACTTGGTGGGTCTGACGCCTGTCTGAAACAAGTCTGAGACACAGTGTTACCACGATCTGCGTAGACCGGGGTCAGCTGTTCGGATGTTCATGCGCCCTTTTGTTTGGGCCGAGTGTGCTCAGCATATTCATGTCAACGTGCTTCCAGGCTGCTTCCAAATAAGTAGGGCGAACCCCAAGAGGCTACAGCTTCTGAAGAGAGGGTTCGTCCTAGAAACACATTGGCACCATTTGTTCGGGTCAGGTATGCGGCAAAAATGACAATTTTGGCGCACCTGGAACGCCGGGCTGTTCACATGGAGCCGTGCACGTGGCCTTCACAAACTTGCTTCGTAAGCTTGCTTGGATTCGTTAGTTTCTCCACCTATTTTCCCATTCGCAACCAATTGCAACTGGTGACTTTGTGGAAAGGGCCGCGCGCGTTGTCAATTGGATGCGTGTGGATGGCAAGTTGGGTGGATTCGCCGCAGGTGTGTGGAGACGGGGCCGGCGCTGCGCTTTTGCGGGGGGCTCGGTGTGGACAAGCCTCGGTCACTTGGTGGGTCTGACGCCTGTCTGAAACAAGTCTGAGACACAGTGTTACCACGATCTGCGTAGACCGGGGTCAGCTGTTCGGATGTTCATGCGCCCTTTTGTTTGGGCCGAGTGTGCTCAGCATATTCATGTCAACGTGCTTCCAGGCTGCTTCCAAATAAGTAGGGCGAACCCCAAGAGGCTACAGCTTCTGAAGAGAGGGTTCGTCCTAGAAACACATTGGCACCGTTTGTTCGGGTCAGGTGTGCGGCAAAAAGGGCAATTATATGGCGTACCTGGAGCGCCGGGCTGTTCACCGCGCACGTGGCGGTTCCCGCATGTCACGAGCGTCCACCGCGCCAGTCTCGCTCGCCGGCATGTCACAAGCGTCCACCACGCCAGTCTCGCTCGCCAGCAGGTCACGAGCATCCACCGCGCCAGTCTCGCTCGCGGGCGGATTCCGCATGTCACGAGCGTCCACCGCGCCAGTCTCGCTCGCGGGCGGTTTCCGCATGTCACGAGCGTCCACCGCGCCAGTCTCGCTCGCGGGCGGTTTCCGCATGTCACGAGCGTCCACCGCGCCAGTCTCGCTCGCGGGCGGTTTCCGCATGTCACGAGCGTCCACCGCGCCAGTCTCGCTCGCGGGCGGTTTCCGCCTGTCACGCGCCAGTCTCGCTCGCGGGCGGTTTCCGCATGTCACGAGCGTCCACCGCGCCAGTCTCGCTCGCGGGCGGTTTCCGCATGTCACGAGCGTCCACAGCGCCAGTCTCGCTCGCGGGCAGTTTCCGCATGTCACGAGCGTCCACCGCGCCAGTCTCGCTGGCGGGCGGTTTCCGCCTGTCACCTGTCTTGCTCGCGGGCGGTTTCCGCATGTCACGAGCGTCCACCGCGCCAGTCTTGCTCGCGGGCAGTTTCCGCATGTCACGAGCGTCCACCGCGCCAGTCTCGTTCGCGGGCGGATTCCGCATGGGCGGTTTCCGCATGTCACGAGTCTCCACCGCGCCAGTCTCGCTCGCAGGCGGTTTCCGCATGTCGCAAGCGTCCACTGCGCCAGTCTCGCTTGCCAACGGTTTCCGCATGTCACGAGCGTCCACCGGTCTCGCCCGCGAGCGGTTTCCGCTTGTCACGAGCGTCCGCGCCAGTCTCGCTCGCGGGCGGTTTCTGCCTGTCACGAGCGGGTGCACCGCGCCAGTCTCGCTCGCGGGCGGTTTCCGCATGTCACGAGCGTCCACCGCGCCAGTCTCGCTCGCGGGCGGTTTCCGCATGTCACGAGCGTCCACCGCGTGTCAAGCGTCCACCGTGCCAGTCTCGCTCGCGGGCGGCTTCCGCCTGTCACGAGCGTCCACCGCGCCAGTCTCGCTCGCAGGCGGTTTCCGCCTGCCACGAGCGTCCGCGCCAGTCTCGCTCGCGGGCGGTTTCCGCCTGTCACGAGCGTCCTCCGCGCCAGTCTCGCTCGCGGGCAGTTTCCGCCTGTCACGAGCGTCCACCGCACCAGTCTCGCTTGCAGGCGGTTTCCACATGTCACGAGCGTCCCCCGCGCCATCCTCGCTCAGGGGCGGTTTCCGCATGTCACGAGCGTCCACCGCGCCAGTCTCGCTTGCGGGCGGTTTCCGCATGTCATGAGCGTCCACCGCGCAGTCTCGCTCTCGGGCGGTTTCCGCATGTCGCAAGCGTGCACCGCGCCGGTTTCCGCATGTCACGAGCGTCCACCGCGCCAGTCTCGCTCGCGGGCGGTTTCCGCATGTCACGAGCGTGCACCGCGCCAGTCTCGCTCACGGGCGGTTTCCACATGTCACGAGCGTCCACCGCGCCAGTCTCGCTCGCGGGCGGTTTCCGCATGTCACGAGCCTCCACCACGCCAGTCTCGCCCACGGGCGGTTTGCGCATGTCACGAGCATCCACCGCGCCGGTTTCCGCCTGGCTCGCGGGCGGTTTCCGCCTTGTCACGAGCGTCCACCGCGCCAGTGTCGCTCGCGGGCGGTTTCCGCATGTCACGAGCGTCCACTGCGCCAGTCTCGCTCGCGGGCAGTTTGTGATGTCACGAGCGTCCACCGCGCCAGTCTCGCCCGCGGGCGGTTTCCGCCTGTCATCCACTGCGCCAGTCTCGCTCGCGGGCGGTTTCCGCCTGTCACGAGCGTCCGCGCCAGTCTCGCTCGCGGGCGGTTTCCGCCTGTCAGGAGCGTCCACCGCGCCAGTCTCGCTCGCGGGCGGTTTCCGCATGTCACGAGAGTCCACCGCACCAGTCTCGCTCGCGGGCGGTTTCCGCATGTCACGAGCGTCCCCCGCGCCAGTCTCGCTCGCGGGCGGTTTCTGCGTGTCACGAACGTCCACCGCGCCGGTTTCCGCATGTCACGAGCGTCCACCGCGCCAGTCTCGCTCGCGGGCGGTTTCCGCATGTCACGAGCGTCCACCGCGCCACGGGCGGTTTCCACATGTCACGAGCGTCCACCGCGCCAGTCTCACTCGCGGGCGGTTTCCGCATGTCACGAGGCGTCCACCACGCCAGTCTCGCCCACGGGCGGTTTCCGCATGTCACGAGCATCCACCGCGCCGGTTTCCGCCTGGCTCGCGGGCGGTTTCCGCCTGTCACGAGCGCCCACCGCGCCAGTCTCGCTTGCGGGCGGTTTCCGCATGTCACGAGCGTCCACCGCGCCAGTCTCGCTCGCAGGCGTTTTCCGCATGTCACGAGCGTCCACCGCGCCAGTCTCGCTCGCGGGCGGTTTCCGCATGTCACAAGCGTTCGCCGCGCCAGTCTCGCCCACGGGCGGTTTCCGCATGTCACGAGCGTCCACCGCGCCAGTCTTGCTGGCGGGCGGTTTCCGCATGTCACGAGTGTCCACCGCGCCAGTCTCGCTCGCAAGCGGTTTCCGCATGTCACGAGCGTCCACCGCGACAGTCTCGCTCGCGGGCGGTTTCCGCATGTCACGAGCGTCCACCGCGCCAGTCTCGCTCGCGGGCGGTTTGGTTTGTGCATGTCACGAGCGTCCACCGCGCCAGTCTCGCTTGCGGGCGGTTTCTGTCACGAGCGTCCCCCGCGCCAGTCTCGCTCGCGGGCGCTTTCCGCTCCACCGCGCCAGTCTCGCTGAGCGTCCACCGCGCCAGTCTCGCTCGCGGGCGGTTTCCGCATGTCACGAGCGTCCACCGCGCCAGTCTCGCTCGCGGGCGGTTTCCGCACGTCACGAGCGTCCACCGCGCCAGTCTCCCTCGCGGGCGCTTTCCCCATTGCATGTCACGAGCGTCCACCGCGCCAGTGTCGCTCGTGGGCGGTTTTCGCCTGTCACGAGCGTCCACCGCGCCAGTCTCCCTCGCGGGCGGTTTCCGCCTGTCACCAGCGTCCACCGCGCCAGTCTCGCTTGCGGGCGGTTTCCGCCTGTCACGAGCGTCAGTCTCGCTCGCGGGCGGATTCCGCATGTCACGAGCGTCGACCGCGCCAGTCTCGCTCGCGAGCGCACCGCGCCAGTCTCGCTCGCGGGCGGGCGGTTTAATTCCGCATGTCACGAGCGTCCACCGCGCCAGTCTCGCTCGCGGGCAGTTTCCGCATGTCACGAGCGTCCACCGCGCCAGTCTGGCTCGCGGGCGGTTTCCGCATGTCACGAACGTCCACCGCGCCAGTCTCGCTCCCGGGCGGTTTCCGCATGTCACGACGAGCGTCCACCGCGCCAGTCTCGCTCGCGGGCGGTTTCCGCATGTCACGAGCGTCCACCGCGCCAGTCTCGCTCGCGGGCGGTTTCCGCATGTCACGAGCGTCCACCGCGCCAGTCTCGCTTGCGGGCGTTTTCCGCATGTCACGAGCGTCCACCGCGCCAGTCTCGCTCGCGGGCGGTTTCCGCATGTCACGAGAGTCCACCGCGCCAGTCTCGCTCGCGGGCGGTTTCCGCATGTCACGAGCGTCCACCGCGCAGTCTCGCTCGCGGGCGGTTTCCGCATGTCACGAGCGTCCACCGCGCCAGTTTCGCTCGCGGGCGGTTTCCGCATGTCACGAGCGTCCACCGCGCCAGTCTCGCTCGCGGGCGGTTTCCGCATGTCACGAGCGTCCACCGCGCCAGTCTCGCTCGCGGGCGGTTTCCAGCCAGCCTCGCGCGCCCAGTCTGCGCCACACCGCCGTCCCCCCAGCCAGCCAGTCTTGCTCGCGGGCAGTTTCCAGCCAGCCTCGCGCACCCAGTCTGCACCACACCGCCGTCCCCCCAGCCAGCCCCACACCGCCGTCCCCCCAGCCAGCCTCGTACGCCCGGTCTGCACCCCCAGCCGGCATCGCACGCCCGGTCTGCAGCACAACGAAATGGAAATCCCTTCTTATCTCCGTCGTCACAGCTTGTATCGCTCCCAGGCACCTTAAGAGAAAACCTAAAGCAGAACCCAAGCATCAGAGATGCTTTTGGGAAAAAAGCCACAAATAAGCCTTATTTAAGGGCCAACGGTCAACCTTCCAAAATAACCCTTAAATAAGGCTTATTCATGGTCTATTTTGTTTTCTCAAAACCTTAGCCATTTTCGGGGGGGAGTACTGGGGGGGGGAGTATAAACTTCTATGATGGTACATGGATCCACTGTGTTCGGTTTCCTGTTTTAAATCCCCAAAAAGGAAAGCCAGACGAGACACAGCCAAGGGTCGGAACCTTCAGTTTTCACTTCAAAGCCTTTGATTTCCCTGAAAGAAGCAGTCCATAAAGGCCTCAAATCACCATGAGCCTGTCCCAGTTGTGCCAAACCTTGGCCCATTGGGGTCATCCTTGAAAGCTGCAAGTTGAGTGCGGCTTAGAGGTAACTGGGATTAGCTGGGCTTATGGAAGATCAGTTTCCGCTTGAAGGCGACACCCTGGGTGCCATGGCAACCTTGGAGGGAGGGTGATTGTCAAGCACTATGAGGGGCTGAAGAAGAAACGTACATGCATTCTTCTCTGAGAATGATGCTCGATGTTTTTTTTCTTTTTTGTCGATGCGCCCCTGATCCGACGTTGATTTCAGGTGTTGATATGTCAGAATTTGCAGGTGTGTGACTCGATTCCCTATTCTCCTCACGCCCTCTTTCGCACAAACCACCTGTTGTTTCCAGGGTTTCTGGCAACGTTTCGAAGAGAAGGATCCTTGAAGTAAATCGAGAGGATACTTCTATCCTGGAACGGCGCCTTTGCTGGCTTTTCCATTCGTGTGTGTTTTGAATTGAGGGCGCCGTTTGGTTGCAGGGTCTAAAAGGGAAGCCAAAGGGACACCCACCAATTTCGGGCCATTTGGGGGGGGGGGGGGCATGTTTGAACACCCACATGTCCGGGGAAAGGAATCTACAGGAGCAAGGTGCCCCCGATCCCACCGAATTGCCGGGTGAATGTGTATCCGCATTTTTTTTCAGGAAGTGTGCCATGTTAACTTCAGATAAAGTCTGGAGAAAATGAAGATAAAAGGAGCCAAGTCAGAAGTGTTAAAATCCGAAGCGACAGGCTTTGGACCCCCTGGTGGCGCTGGATTTGTGTGGTCCGCCAACGCTGGCTCTGCCGCTCGTTCAACAGGATGCGAAGGGGAGGTCGCGGTTTTTATCGGCCGCCATGATACCTGAAGAAGCGTCCATTTGCTGAAATGATTTTTGGTCGTTTTCCCCTGTTGGTTTCAAAGGGAATCTATCAGTACTGGAAATCATTGCATTTTTTTTCAGGGGCCCTAGGCAAATGGAAGGAGCATTTACTTGCAAGATCCCAGTACAAAAATCAGGAGAGGTTATCTCACTTTCTGAGTTCTTGGACTTGATACGTTTGGAGAAGGTCATGTTTGGCATGACAGTTAGGCTTTTTTGGGCCATCCACTCAGGAAGTGAGCTATGGGAATGAATTATCGGATCCTCTTAAATGCAACGACGAGGGATGTTTTACAGGGCTCATTCCTTGATTCCTGAGACCAGCCATACTTGACCGGTTTTGCTTACACTACAAGGGGTCCCTTCCAGTCCCTTTAGGTAGCTTCCCATAGGCGCCTTCTCTTAGGTGGATGGTTAGACTTTTAGGATACTCCACCAGAAGTCTAACTTGAAGCATGTGAGGTGTGGTCAAGTTTACGGTGTACGTACTTGTGAGAGACATGGTCTCTCACAAAACACAGGAACGTGCTCTAATTACTCTTGGCTTATGTCTCAGCTGGGCCAGGTAAAGAAGTTGAAACACAGCCCTAGCAAGGTCTTCACCCTTGATTTCGTGAATGATGCATGGCTTGCTGGTGCTTAGCAGGAGGGAATGACCCTGGGGATTCCCTTAAAGAAACCACAAGGAATGGTTTACGGGGTTCATTCCAGTTCTCATTCCCTGCTGAGAAAGATGCTTTGGGGTAGCTCTTTTTCGAGTTTTCAGCGTGACTCAGCTTCTAAATGTCCGGCACGGGACATGTTTGGACTCACCCCAACAGCGTCGCTTTTGCCCCCAAAAATGCAGCTGAGAAGCGGGTTGTGACTGCCAAATTGTCCGGGGTCGTTTTTGGCCAACGCCCAGGGGATGGCTTCACTCTTGAGATAGGCTCCTCGCTGGCTTCACTTTGGTTGAACCTTGCTCTGTTGCCCAGCAGTGCCCGGCGGGGGCTTCTTTTTGGTGCCGGTGCCCTTTAAACTCGACCAACCACACAAGGATGCGCTGTTTTCCCATGGAAATCCACTGGGCCGCTGAGCACGACAACATTCAGGTGCCCTAGTCGTGAATTGTTCCATTTGTTGCGCTCTTTCAGCAGCCTTTGGGCACTTTCCGGTTTTCGGCCATGACTCTCAGAAAAGGAGCCCCAAAGTGCAGTTCGTTTCGGGAGTCCAGGGTTGCCCTTCATATCTTGGGGCCTCCAGAGGCCTTTTCAACCAACGCGAACATGTTGTTTTCGGGGCCAGGGGACAATTCGGGCGTCTCAAAATAATGGAACCCTCAAAATGGCAAGTTCTCTCTTGATTTCCGCTCCCGCTCCAAAGGCGACCTGAAGCACCGGTATCTCAGGCTGGGGGAATTTACCGTGGGTTGGGCCGAAAGGGGACCGCCGGTGTCAGTCCCTCTTTTTCAGACAAACTCCTGGGTGTGCTTGTGTTGTGAGGTGTTGGTGTGGGTTGGTGTCCTGGTGTGTTGTATAGTTTGTTGGTTTGTTTGGGGACCCAAATCCTTTGACGAGCCACTCGCGACTTTCTGGGTGTGGGGAGATCTCCTAAACCACCTGCGAATCCGACAGCTTTTCAAGCGCTCTGATTTCCCGAACCTCCCGGAAAGCAGCGATGCCAAGGACGAAAAAGGTTGAAGAAATGGGTGTGTCTTGCTGTTGAGGCTACGTATTCACATGGACCCTTTGGTGGACTCATTCACATGAGGTTTCGTGTCCAATCATTCTTGAGTGCTCCAGCCACTCAAACTCATGGCCAAGATGGGCTCTCACAACAGGATTCTACATATTTTGGTTTCTGGGTCCTCTGTGGGGGGGGACCCCGAAATAAGAAACTGTCCTTTAAGTTCCCACTATACACGCACACACACAAACAAACAATCAAACAAGCAAACAAACAAATAACAAGTGGTTGTCCCTTTAGGTTCCCCCTCAAAGCCGCTTGAACGAGTACCCTCAAAAAGAATTTTCAGAACCCCAGATCTCGGCTTGGAAGAAAAGAGGACCGATTCCTGGATTGGGATCCCACCCCCTTCGGGTTCATGCTGGTGGTTCAAAGCCGGGTCTTGATGGCCCAATCGCTCCTTTTCATTTTGTTTTTTTCGGAACCAGTCGAGAAGCTGTTTGGACACTAGAAGGAGAGCTTGGTTTCAAACGGACAACTATCCTGTATGGCTAAAATAGACAACTTGGACACCAAAACTATCCTTTACCACATGTGTATTGGATGTGTTTGGTTCACTTGCAATGTTTAGTGCTTCACCAAACCTTGGCACCAACATCTGGCACGATTGTTTTGCTATTGTCAAAGTCAGCCCCTAAGTGATAGGTTAAAAGGACATAAAGCAGCCAAAGCAAAGTGACCCTTCTGATGCGCTTTCCCTTCTTGTTTCGTCAACTGGTTCTTGCTTCACACCAACACACGCCACCAATCCGCGCAGGGGATTTGATGCCCTTCTCGTAGAGGGTAATGTTGACCCCATATTTATCAACCCTAGTTTGTTAGTAGAGGGATGTGCCTGGGTTTAGTGGGGAATCATCACTATTGGAGGGGCACTCCGCCCCCCTAATAAACTAAAATTGGTTAATACAGGATCAACATTAAGTGACGCTTACCTCTTAAAAACACAACTTTTCGTAACTTTTTGGGTAACATGGGCTATATGTCTGTAAAAGATTAACTTCCCCAATCCTTGGAGTCTTAAGGGGTAAGGAACGGTAGATACTCCCTCCAAGCCGTCGGGCTCCAAACGCACGATGAACGGGATGTTTACTTCCCGGCGTGCGTCCTGGTGCTTTTTTTTTTTTCAAAGCGAAGCTGGCGCCACGTAGGTGTCCTTTTCTTGGTTGGCTTTGAACCAGGGCCATCTATACCAAACAGGTCTCCGATGATTAGGGACCTTTGGGTGGACATCAGACTTCTCTGGAGGAGGGGGGGGGTGGTTCCCTGAATCATGGAACCCTAAGCGGGGCGAGGGGCTGTCCCTTGATATCCCCTGAAGGCTTTAAGGGCTCATCAACTTGGCTAATCAACCTTGGCTTTTCCCAGGCGATAAATCTCCAAAGTGGGTTGTCACCAGGCTTTTTAAGCACTTACCAAGCACCCTGCTTCTTCAACTAGGCGTATCCAGAAATACCCCATAGCCCCCCCCCACATGGCCCCCGAGGGGTCGGTCACCCACGCGTCGCTCCCCAAAGCGCTTCGCTGGCGCCAGGTGCTCACAGCCTTGGAGACCGGCGCTGAGTACATCCCCGTGAGGGCCAAGGTCTCAGCCCGTCGGTTTGTTCGGGAAACCCAACCGGGGAAGATCTTGTTTGGGGGGGTGAATATGAATTGGGGACCCATTTAAGGTGGACATCAAATATTATTTTTTTGGAAGGTACGCTTTTTGGTTGGTTGTGAGGGGAAACCAAAAGGAATTCAACCATTTTTGGGGGTCCGATTCTCAAAGGACGCATCCATTTGGGGCTGGGGATCTATGTCCACCTTTGGGGCGGGGGGGGGGGGGACTCAAGCATCAACGCTTCTAGACGCTCTGGGTACTTGGAGGGGCGTCATTTTTTCTATTTGTTGGCGTCCCCTTCCATTGCCAAGTCTCCATCCTGTTGGTTGCTTTCTTTAAGCGAATAGACATAGCGAAAGCTGCGACTTCCGAGCAACAATCTTGTGGTTGTCCCGTTCAATCACATTACACTTAAAGTCCATTTCACAGCGCACACCCACACACACACACACCCAATCACACTCGCGACTTTCTTACCAACCAGGGTTTACAAGATCCACAGAGGGTCTTCTTTGCAACCTGATTCCGCTCCCGGAAGTGAGCGCAAACGCAAAGGTCAAGTAGCGCGAGTGACCGCAAGAGGCGTCGCTTTTCTGCTTATAGTCTGAGAAGTTATATTGAATTGCAGGCACCCAAGCATAGTAGGCGCCCCCGTCCAAAGGGCTTTCCAACAGGGCCTTCGAGTTTGGGAAAAGTCACAGAGTTTTGCTATTCGATTGCACACATGATTATATTATGCAATTGGTTTTGTACCTCACAACACCAGAGATTGCCTTGTTTTATGTTCACCACTTACCTCAGTTCTATCCTTACTTCAGCACCCCAGACAAGCCCATCCTCCTTGCATTGCCTCAATGTACTCAAAAGAAAGCACGCCTGCCAGAGTGTGCGAATCGCAAGGCCGACCCTCGTATTTGAAGGTGACGCTGCGCGGTTTGGTTTCTGAGTCAAGCCTAAGCAAGTTACAACCTGTATAGTTGTAAGCAAATATTCCCTTGGTTGTCGCCGACTCCTCCTACTACTACCATCACCACTACCACTACCACTACCACTCCCACTACAATACAACAACCACAACAACAACAACAACAACAACAACAACAACAACAACAACAACAACAACAACAACAACAACAACAACAACAACAACAACAACAACAACAACAACAACAACAACAACAACAACAACAACAACAACAACAACAACAACAACAACTCTCTCTCTCTCTCCCTCTCTCTCTCGGTCTCGCTCTCTCCGTATCTCTGTCTCTCTGTCCCATCATCTCTGTCATCCCATCATCTCTACGTCTCTTCGTATTTTGACTACAAGACGTGGGTTGAACATCTCCCGGCGTCGGGCACGCCTTTCGCTGGACTCCGAGGACGGGCTCGGCCCCTGCCTGGGCATTTGCACGCGCCGGGCGCTGCGGAACTTGCTGGGCGCTCGCGAGGCCCCCAATTTTTTTGGGTGGGTGGGTGGGTGGGTGGGTGGGTGGGTGGGTGGGTGGGTGGGGGGTGGGTGGGTGGGTGGGTGGGTGGGTGGGTGGGGGGTGGGTGGGTGGGTGGGTGGGTGGGTGGGTGGGTGGGTGTTGTTTTTGTCGTGGGTTGAAGCCGTTTTGGGATCCCATTTTGGTTGGTAGGGGAATTCACCACCCATTTTAGAACCTATTTTAGTGGGGATTGGGATGTTCACTGAGGGTAAGAGATACTGTGGATGGTTGCGAAATCCGCTTCTCGCACCACCCCCTGGAAGCCCTGGTTTCTGGTTTCTGATTCCCAACGTAAATACCAACTAACACTGGTTTCAGCCATGGTTTCTTAGGTGGAAATGCCATCCACAGTACGGACCTTTGAAAGTATTTGCCTTAGGCAAATACAGTTTGTGTGGAGGGGCCCATTTGCGAATCTTCCATCACGATGTGTCTCAAAATAGGGGGCAAAAACAAGGGGTGGTTTCCTTTTGTTGCTTGATACTTGTTGGGACACTGGCAAGGGCTCGCTCTGGTGGCAAAAGACTCGCTTCCCGAGTTCCCTCTTGTTACGTTTTGGTGGGTCTTGTGGTTGCTGTGGTCACGCCCGCCGGGCCTGAGTACCCCGACACACAAGAGGTGCTGGACCTTAGTCGATGTTGAGTTCCTTTCATAGGGATTTGGGGTTGAAAGTGTTGGCACGAGCCAAATACAGATTATGAGGGGCCCATGCGTGACACTAAAAGAACACGTCCCAAAATCGGGGAGGTTTCCTTTCGGTTTCGCCACAACTCCCTCCCCAGTCGGAGATTCTTGTTGCTTGATACTTTTTGGGAAGAGAGGGGCAAAAGACTCGTTTTGTTTTGTGGCCAATCCACTCTTAAGTGAATAGAACTTCATCGGAGGTTCTCAATCCGATGGCGAAGGGGAATTTTAAGCGCAAACTCCCAGAGGGAAACCAGCCCTTGTGGGGTCCCAAAAATTGAAGCAACTCCCAAAGAGAAACCAGCCCTTAAATCCCAAAGTTTGAAACACATCGCGGGCCATGGAAGATGTTTGCTTCTCACTCGACCTCGCAGACAACTCTTGCCAGGTGGCGCACCACGAGGCGCTGGAAACTAGATGCGCTTCTCTTGGGATTTCAAGTGGTGGAATTGAACGCACCGAAGCCCATGTAAATAGCTCGGCATGTTTTTTTTTTTTCTCCGAAGACCCAAAATTGCTGGTTAAGTTCTTTTGGTTTCGCTTTAAAGCCACCAGGGGCACGGTGGAGAAAAAAGAAAGAAAACAAACAGTTAATTTGGGACATTTGGGTTCCCCCAGTGTAGAGACACTCACCAGGTGCTGTTCTCCAAGAACAAGTTAGTAACAGTCAGAAGGCGCCGAATCCCGTTCAGTTGCCTCTTCCTGTACTCATTCTTCAGCACTAGGGGACCCACCCAGAATGGTTAGCTGCCTGTTAAAAACCAACCCCAAAAAGGAGGCCGCCACACGTACTGACGTTTTCTTTGCTGTTGGCGGCCACTCTTGAGCTCTACGGCAAATTCGGGTCGCCACGAAAGCGAGAGATCGAAGCCGCCAGCATTTGGAGCAGTTTCCTTTTGCTTTCCTCATAATTTTTGTTCAGAGCACCTTTGGAAGTGCGCAGGCCCTTTGCAGGTCGTTCAAGACTGTACACTTCCATACCAAACAAAATCGAACCGGATTTTTTGTTTATTCTCAGCCCTTATCGATTGGTGAATTTGGATTCCCTCAGATCAATGTCCGGAGGGGTTGCGGGAGGGGGGGTGCTCATGCACAAGGGCTAGTCTTTGAACCTCCATTTGACGGAGCAATCATGCATACTGTTGACCCCATATGAATCAACCCCAGTTTATTAATAATGGGGTGTCCCGGTTTATTGCGGTTCCCCTCCAAAAGTGATGATTCCCCTAAACCCAGGGACACCCCTATTAACAAAACTGGGGTTGATTCATATGGCGTCAACATTACCAAGGGGGCACGGGAGGGAGGAACACTGAACTTTAAGCCCCGAGCAAACCGGCTGTCAACTGATGAGTCTGAGCAAATTAGCATGCGCCCATTGAGTGTTTGTTAGTTGAATATGGATCCCCATGTTTTTTGGTTGGTGAAATATGGGTCTGTCTTGCTTCCTTGTTGTTTCAAAGGAAAACCAAAAGGAAGCGCACCATTTTATTTATCGTACTTTATTTAGTGATTCATATTTTTTTGGGGGGGTCCCCTACAAAAAGACAAAACCCATGTAAGAATGTGACCAGTGTGTGAAAATTGTTCGGGTAGTTGGACAATGCAGTGGGTGTGGGTCAAAATTAAACCACCAGGGAACCGCAGGTTTTGGTCCATGTTGTCACTTACCAGGGTTCCATTTTGGGTATATACCTCTATTTGACCCACAGCCAGTAGGAAAAGCAAACAAGCCGCGATATCCCTAGCCCAACCGAATCTCATCGAACTTGACAGCTCGGAACTTTCAGAGACTGCAAGACTCAAAGCAGCTGAGAGCTAGAGACCGCAACCCCAGCTGGATCGCTTTTCCACCCTCGTTTGACTTGGAAAGGTTGCTTCAAGCCTTTTGGCCGAAATCACGAAACATGCGGCTGCGTGGTTTGTTTGGTTTCCCGGAAGATCCTATGCCAGTTGGCAGTTTGTTTCAGGAGCGACCCAGTTTCGGTTGGGTCTTTGAGGAAGGGACGCCATGCCCTTCTCTGCCGATTGCTGCCCTTATCCCCATTGGGTGGAATGGGAGCAAACCGTTAAACCTCCGTCTTCACATTGCCGGGCCTACATGTTCAGCGGTTCGCCTTTTTGTGAACCCATGAACACTCCGGGGACCAAAGAGGGGTTTCGGCTTGCGCCAAGGGACCCCTCAGTTGTTCTAACCCATACCGCGGTTGTTGTTGGGAAACATTTTACATGTTTGCTTCTTGTGGTTTAGTGGAAAATCCCCTCTTAACAGCTAACATTTAAAATGTTGCTCCCCTTCCAACATCAACCAAGATACGAATCCTGATGCAAGAAGGGATTCGGCTGCAGTGCAGGGCGAGCAAGTGTTTCTCGACACCGAGCTCACGCAGTCGCTGCCGATTCATCGCGTCATGGACGGGGATGGGGCGCAGAGAAAAGGAGTTCAACGCATGATTGTTAGAAGTGGGTCTGTCATCTTGAGGGAAACCAAAATGAACCTGAGATATTTTTGGGATTCCCTATCTCAAGACACCCCCCAAGTCATGCTTTCAGGCTGGTTTCTATGTTGCCAAGGGCCGCGAGGAAATAGTAATCATTCCATCTTTTTTATTATTTCCAGGTGGGAAATGCATTACGTAATGCTTTTTATTTTATTTCCCGGCCCCCACCTCCCGGAAATGAGAGAACAGGCATTTTCACTATTTCCGGCCTCCTGGAACATAGTAAAACTGCCTTTTTCATTATTGCGTGAGGTGGGAAATAATTAATAATAATAATAATAATAGTAATCTTGGGGGGGGGGCTGGAAGTACAGGCATGTTTTATCTATTGGCACTTGGTTTGTCGAGATAACCAGCCACCTTCTAACCAACTACCCTACCTCAAAGGACATAAACCTCAACCAGCTCCCCTGGTACCGCTTGATTGTTTTTGAAAGAAAGGCGCCAATGTCCCTTTCATTTTACGTAAAGACACTTGCACAAAACGCAGGGCTGGGGTGTTCTATGTCCCCTGCATATTCAATGTCCCCCCCCCCAAAAAAAAAGAAGAAAAGCTGAAACAAAATTGCTAGTATGCTCTTAATTTTCTGGATTTGTTTCAGGAAAACGCAGAGGGATATGGGTTTCTGTTCCGAAAATCGGTCGGGTGTCGAACACTTCCCGCAGGACCCCACGCCTTTCACCGTCACCGAGGACATGCCCGCCCCAAGGCGCGAACACCGCGTTAGCGCGAAGCCGTGGCAGGAGAAATCCCATGGGAGAAACATGTCACGCCCTGAGCTGCTGGCTCTGCTGCCCGGTGCATTCCGTTTGTTTTCTCCTTTTGTTTTTGGTAGCGCTCCTTAAAAGATACATTTTGCAACCATTTGAAACATGTTTTGTTCCACCAAAATAAAGGGAAACCACCAGGTACAAGGCAATCTTCAGGTGTATAATGTAAGGTTCCCTGTAATTTGGGAAGGCTTGGACAAGATGAAGGGGTTTTCCTCATACGGGATGAAGGCCTTGACGTAGGATGCCCCGCTCATGTTCGAGTTCCTGGTTGCGTCATCCTGTTTGAGTCTCAAGCGTTTTGGTGGTGAACCAACAGTTTAGCATTTTTCATCCAATCCACGAACTTGAGATGAGAACTCCCAAAATTCTAGCTGTATTCTCCTCATTCTCTTCAGGCATCATTCTCTTCAAACCATGGGCCAAATCCCTGGAACATGGGTGGTTTCTAAAGAGAACGACGGGTGAAGATAATGCGAAATCCAAGCTTCTAACAATGGCGGCTTGCTTTTCTTGGGTTTCGCCCCAAAAGTTTTGGGTAACTCAACGCTTTGCCACCTTTGGGTCCAACGTCCCTTTGAGAAGGCAAAATGTGAACGCTTCCGGGAGACCGGGAGAGGGGCGGGGCAGCAGGCAAGAAGCAAGCAAATGCAAGCAGGCAAACAAACGCAAAAAAAAGGCGAACAAAACAAACGAAGAAAACACAGAGAAACAAGCAAACCAGCAAGCAAGCAAAAGGACAGAAGCGCAAGCAAAACAACAGACAAATAAGCAAACAGACAAGCAAAAACACACCGACAAACAAACAAAACCAAAACACCACCCCCCACCCCCCACCACCCCCCACCACCCCCGACCACCCCCCACCACCCCCCACCACCCCCCACCACCCCCCACCACCCCCCACCACCTCCCCCCACCACCCCCCACCACCCCCCACCACCCCCCACCACCCCCCACCACCCCCCACCCAGTCAACCACCGCCTGCCCGCGTGCCCGGCCTCAATTTGGCCCCTTGAGGCTCTACGCTTTGTTCGCCAAGGCTGGGGAGGTTGCTGCCTGCGTGACCTCCCTCCGTAGCTCGGCGGCAATATTGACCGAGACATACCTTCGGGCAGTCCTTTGTCGTACCAGTTTTTGTTGCTTGGAACTCACTCCCTGACTGTTTTTCGGGAAAATCATTCTAGTGGTACAGAGAAGGTTTGGACTTTTTTTGGCCCATCCGCTTTGGAAGCGAGAGCAGGCTACCCGCTAAGCGACATGGAAGCCGCCAGCCAGCGGGTCCCTTCTAAAGCAAAATCGTTTGACTCCACGTTAGTGGACTGGGAGGGTATAGTTTCCGTTTTCCGCGAACTAACTTTTTTTCTTCACAGGCACAGCTCAAACAGTTCACAATGTTTTGGCCAGTCAACTGAGCAGGTCAGTTTTTTGACTAGCTTGAATTGGGCAAAATGTATGACCGCCGCAGTGGACAGGGAGGATGGGTTTAGTCAGTTCCCGAAGTGAGCAGGAGGAATCATTGAACTCCACATCCTTTTTTTCTGCGGGCGTCAAGGCCAGTTTTTCAGGGGATATGATGTAGACAGATCCAACTAATGCAAAAACGCTGATATTTTCGAGCTCGAGCGCTTCTACCAGTGATTCCGGGGAAAATGAGGGTTTCACCAAGGTTCCCAAAATTCGGGGACCCCCAAAGACTGGTTTCCTTTGGGTTTCCCTTGAACCTACAATCCTCTTGAACATGAGGCCTCACCACGATTCTTGAATCAAAGGGTGCAAACGGCGTACATGATGCCTACATTATATGCGTAAGGGGTATGGGTATAATGTTTTGGGTCACCGCAGGTTGAAATGTTCCCCCCAAACCATTACCTGCAGGGTAACCTTTGTGTGACTAGGAGGGCACCTCATACGCCCTCGAGAAAAAACAACTTTGCGGTCTGCCCTTTAAATGTATGGCCCTTTCAGGGTCTGTCAAAATGCACCAGAATAGAGTTGCATCCTGCCAATTGTTTGTCACCCTCTGGCAAGCCGAATTGTGGACCCATTTTGGGAGATTGGTCAAACTGTGGCTCCTTTGCGGTGCAAATTCTGACCCAAAAGGCTTCGTATTCCAGTCAACCCTCTGTTTTTGGGCTGGTCAAAAGAGAAAACCAACGGAAAGCCACCACTTTTCACTTTTGGGTGTCCAAATCCCTTTGACTAGTCACACTTGTGCGTGTGTTGATGTTTTGAGGGTACCCCTTTGTGGACAGGGCCCCCGAATTGAATACACGCCCATATCTCCACAAAACAGTTTAGTTGCGCTTTTGGGTTGGCGGATCCACTCCGCGCGCTCCGAGGCGGAGAGTTCCGGGGTATCCTGTCACGGGACCAGCTCATCGAAGCCGTGCAGCGCGGGTGAGAGTTCAAAGCGAAAAAGATGCGCTCGCTCCGCGCGATGGGAAGTCATATGCTCAGCTTCGGAGTGCGTTTCGGGCCTCAGTTTTGACCCAATTGCCTTTTAGACCCTGACCCAAAAAAACTAGGCCCCCCAGTACTGCCTTTTTTTTTGGGGGGGGGGAGGGTTCCCCTACTAAAATAGACTACAGAAAAAAGGGTATATATATACCCTTATTCTAGCCTCTTTACTGGAGGACCTATACAAAAAGGTTTAAAGAGGAAGGAAACCCCTGTGAACTGGTAAAGACGGCCTGCTTTGGCATTGCAGAAGGGGTGGTGACGGCGGTGGGTTTGTCTGTTTTTGGGGGAACCTGCCGTTTGGTTCAAAAGGGGGAAAGAGAGCAAGCCGTTGCCATTTGGCTGTGGCTCAAAAGCATGTACCAAAATGGATCACCTTGGTAAATGGAGCCAAAGACGACAAAGAACGGCGGTTTGCCCTACCTCTTTTTAATCTCGAGTCGTGCCCAAATGGAAGCCCAACCACGGAACACGCTAAAAACAACTAGCAACAACCTAAGGAACCTGCTTTTAAACACACACACACACATCGCAGGCGGCAGTGGCGCAGCAGCAGCTCGCGGAGCGCAAGGATCGCTTGGAGCAGGCGGGGTGGGGTTGGGGGTGGGTGGGTGGGGAGGGACCCTACTGAAATAGACTACAGAAAAAAGGGTACCCTTTTTCTAGCCTCTCTACTGGAGTAGGTCCCTTACGTGGACCAGTGGATGAAAAACCACTGAAATGATGATAATTCCCCCAAACAGGAACAGTTGCCCATGGTCATTTGGGGGGCCGAACGGAATATCGATCAACCCCCATGTGGGTGTGGCACAAAAGTCAAGAGCCAGGGCAAGCCGCAGGTTTTAGTCTTTGGTTCCATTTTGCCCAGGTGATCCATTTTTGGATCATGGCTTTTTTGCCACAGCCACTGGCGGATTTTGTGGTGCTGTGGATTCGGCTTCTTATACGCATCCATCCGTGGACCCGTCTATTGAAGGGCGAAGGCTCTCTCGAGGGCCCACGATGCTTGGCTTGCGAGTTTGGGGCAGCTTTCAGGGAGCCACCTGGGCTTATGTTGTGTCTGTGTCTGTGTGTGCGCGTGTGTCTGTGTGCGTGTGTTTCGTTTTTTTTTCCGGTCAAGGGAGAAGACATGTGCTTAATCCCAAATTCCTGGGCCCCAACTGGCCATGGGTAACTTTTCCCATGTGGGAAATATCATGATTTGTTTATTGGAGTTCCCAGTAATCATCCCATGTATCGCAGACCTTCTGATCAACCCCCCATGTTAAGACATCCCTCTGGTTCAACCAAAATTAATTCAAAAAGGGTTCAATTTATAACCATCATCATCCAAGTGACCGGAGTTTCATCATATATTTTTGGGATGTTAATTTGGTTATCTACCGGAATTCACCATGAATTACCGGAGTTTCATCATCCAGACAATACACAACCAAAAATGCTTGGGTGAATAATACAACCACCATTGAAGGTTAAGAATACAACCACGCGTTTAGACTAATAATACGACCACCATCATAGGTTAAGAGTACAACCACGCGTTTAGACTAATAATACGACCTCCATCATAGGTTAAGAATACAACCACGCGTTTAGACTAATAATACAACCACCATCATAGGTTAAGAATACAACCACCATTTTTTAGGTTAAGACTACCACCACCGTTCTTTTGCGGAAGTTCATCATCCAACTACTCGGGGCACCTCAGCCCTGGCCGTCGAGCGGAGGAGCTGCAGCGCGTCTCTGCGGAGTGCGACGCGGAGCGCCGGGAGTTGGAGCGGAAGATCCAGGCGACGCCTTCGCGTTTCGCCAAGGGATGTTAGGACTTTGACTTTTTGCCAACTAATGGGTTATCCGAATTAAACCACTAAAAGTCAGTCACTTACTAAACCTTACACTTTTTCTTATTGTTCCATTAAACTCTAACTTGTTGCATTCTGCTAACTTTTTCCGGATTGAACCGCTAAAAGTTAAACCTTTAGCAGGGGAGCAGAAAGCAACCGAGACTCGAGAGCGACGTCGGGTGGAGCCGTGGGGACCGGGGCGAGCTGCTGGAGTATGGCCAGAGGTGTGGATGGTGGCGAAATCCGCTTCTCGCACCACCCAGAGATGGCCATGGTCTTTCTGATTCCCAATGTAAACACCGACAAACAGTGGTGTCAACCATGGTTTCTTGGGTGGTGCGAAATGGATTTCGCAACCATCCACAGTAAGTGTCCTTTTTTGGTTAGTGGTTAAAGATAGAAGGCACTGGGTTAGATTGGTTTTATGCTCCATTTGCCAGGGCCACGTACTTCTTCTTTTTTGAGGGACACCTTTGGATATGGCTGTGGGTCAAACATAGCTGGTAACCCCAAAATGGCTTGCCCAGCCTGGCAAATGGAAACATGGATGATTCTTCCGATTTAACCTGCGGGCCATTTCCTGGTGAATCAATATTGACCCACACCCATATTGCGGCCGAACGAAGTATGGCGAGTGCCGATGGGTGTGGTCAACCATATGGACCTTTTGGGATCTGGTGCCGGATTGTGTCCAGCCGCAGTAATCCCAACAAAGGTCCTAAGAATAAGAATTGTCTTGCCGGCAGTTTTTTTTGAAATGAGGGAGGGGGGGGGGGCGCTTTTATTGTTAGGGGGAAGAGATTATGTCGAGTTTCGTGGTTCAGTGTCTAGATCAAAGCCAGTCGCCCGCGTGGCCCTCTATGGCCCTCTCATTAGATGTTAGGCCCAACATCAGGCGCAGGGCATGTGCCGCCTTTGAAAGGGCCCCTACTTTTCACCATGCCTACTTTTCGATGCGAAGGAATCGCGACTCGAGATATCGGAGATCGGAGATCGATCGAGCGGTGAGAAACAAGGGTTTGGGATGCTGCCGTACGCGAGGGTGTGAACTCACTTCCAAGTTCCTGGGTGCTTGACAAATACAAACAAGGTCCCCCAGGATCGTGCCCTACCCTTTCTTGGTGGGGGGATCCTACACCAAAATAGACTACAGAAAAAAACGGGCACCCTTATTCTATCCTCTCTACTGGAGGACCTAGCAAAAGGTCTGGACCATGTTTGCGACCACAAGTTGGTTGGGTTGAATTTATGACTGGCCCCAGGATTTGCGCAACCCTTAGATGACCCCCAAACGCCCACTGGTGTTCATACCCCTCGCCCCAAGGGAACATTTTGAGTTCCAGGTCGCTTTAAACTTGTTTGTGCCCAACATTTGGCTGGGACTTGGTAAACATTTGGTTTTTGGGCATGACCAACAAACGCTTCGGACTTTCAGCCGGCGAATCCGCTCGCTTCCCTGAGCGACAAGCTGTCGCTCGACTGGTTCTTCGCCATGATGTGCCACATTGTGTTTGGGGATTCTTCGGCCAGTTCGGCGGTTCGGGGGCTGGGGCCCTCGTGTTGTTTCTTGTTTTTTCCTCCGGTCGTTTCTTTCGGTAGCTTTCGGCTGGGCCCAGCTCAATTTGGCCGGGCCTTTGGGCTGAGAGGCTACGAGTTGGGTGTGCTGGTTTTTGGGGGGAGCCCTCAAAATGGCGGGTTTTGTTTTCTTTGGTTTCCCTCGAAAACCATCAAAGAGGGGTACCCCCAAGAACAGGAAGCTGTTATTCTAAGTAATGTCTTGGACCATAGAACTCGTGTTTGATACTGGGCAATTTGTTTTCGAGGATGAGTGTCTTTTCAACATTTGAGTTGCTGAAGCTCAAGTTCGAGCAGACCTCAAAGAAGAACAAGGTGAAATGGGCTCAACTCAGCTACTTTAAGGCCTGAAGACGACGCAATGGTCGGAACTCACAGGCTTGACCTCAGTGATCCCCCGCAAGTAGGGAACCTGTCATTTTCTAGGGGTTGATTCCTTTTCCATTCTTTTCAGCCATCGTTCTGTGGATTCCGCCCATTTTTCTAGTAAACCTCTGGGTTTTTTTCTAGTTTCCAGAAGACCTCTAGAAATCTACTGTCACCCTGGTGTCGTTTTGTTTTGGCCATTCCACTCAGGAGGTGTTCAGGAGGAAAAGGAACCGTGCTAACCGAGAATTCGGGTGCCCCTGCAATGGTTCTTGCAACTGGGGTACCCTTTTGGATCAGCATATGGGTATGGCTCAAAATTAAAGAGCTGGGGTTACGCGGGGTTTAGTCTTTGGTTCCATTTACCAAGGTGCTTTTTTTTTGAGCCACAGCCATATGTGAGCCTCTTGTGTGAACATGAGCTTTGGCTCTCACCATGAACGGCTAAAAAGGTCAGCGCCCAAACGGGTTCGCATGGGTGAGGTGAAGCCATGAAGGGTTTCTTTCACCTTCAAGAATCGAATCGGCCCGTGGCAGTTTGTACCTTTTTGTTGGGCTTGAAAGAACAACCCCCCCCCGCCTTTGGCCTATTTTCAGAGGCCCGCATGGTTGGACATTCTTCAGAGTTTGGACAGAGTGCTGGACCAACCACAAGTCACAGGGCTCGCGACTGTTGACTCATCATGGCACATGTTTGCCAGGGAAAGGTACTGACACAGCGCCCTGTTCCAAACACGGCTTGAGTTTCGCGCTGCTTTTGTTCCAGCGCCCCACGCGGGGTGAATGCTTTTGTAGAGCATGGTGTTAAAAACATGTTCTTTTGGCGCCGGCGTTCATAACGTGTGAGAGTTCGAACATAGAGCTGGGGGGAGGGGTCGCTGACTGTAATGATTGTGAGAGTGCCTAGAAGCTGTCGATTTGCCAGACCAAAGGCATGCCTTTCAAAACTTTTGCCTCTTTGGTTCTCCGAATAATACAGGAATGTGGTTCCCCTTCGCGAAAATGAAGGAACTTGTGAACTTGTCGGACCCGCACACTGGCCCAAAAGAGGGTGGTTAAATCCGGGGAAATGCGGGGGACCTTTGAAGGAACCTCAAAACTGCACAATTCTACGAGCCGAAGTCTGGCCAAGATGTGGAAAAGTATCTCTTAGGGA